CACTATGACCAAGAAGGCTTCATCCCAGGCATGCAGGGTTGGTTCAATATTCGGAAATCCATCAATGTTATCCACCATATTAACAAACTGAAAGAAAAAAACCACATGATAATCTCCCTAGATGCTGAAAAAGCATTTGACAAAATCCAACATCCATTCATGTTTAAAGTATTGGAGAGATCAGGGATACAAGGCACATATCTAAACATAGTAAAGGCGATATATAGCAAACCTATAGCCAACATCAAACTGAATGGAGAGAAACTTAAAGCAATCCCACTGAAATCAGGGACAAGGCAAGGCTGTCCACTCTCTCCATATCTCTTCAACATAGTTCTGGAAGTCCTTGCTAGAGCAATAAGACAGTTGAAGGATATCAAGGGGATACAAATTGGAAAGGAAGAAGTCAAATTATCACTATTTGCAGATGATATGATAATATACATGAGTGACCCCAAAAACTCTACCAGGGAACTCCTACAGCTGATAAACACCGTCAGCAAAGTGGCCGGATACAAAATTAACTCAAAAAAAATCAGTAGCACTCCTGAATACAAAAGACAAAAGGGCTGAGAAAGAAATTAGGGAAACAACACCCTTCACAATAGCCACAAAAAACATAAAGTACCTTGGAGTAACCCTAACCAAGCAAGTCAAAGACTTGTATGAAAAAAAATTCAAGTCTCTGAAGATAGAATTAGAAGAAGATATGAGAAGATGGAAAGATCTCCCATGCTCATAGCTTGGCAGGATTAACATAGTAAAAATGGCCATCTTACCAAAAGCAATTTACAGATTAAATGCAATTCCCATCAAATTGCCAACACAATTCTTTACAGACCTGGAAAGAAAAATTCTCAACTTTGTATGGAATAACAAGCAACAGAGAATTTCTAAAACAATCCTCTACAATAAAAGATCTTCTGGAGGTATCTCCATCCCTGATCTTAAGCTGTACTATAGAGCAACAGTTATAAAAATTTCATGGTACTGGCATAGAATGGTGGATCAATGGAACCGAACAGAGGACCCAGAAATAAACCCACACACTATGGACACCTGATCTTTGACAAAGATGCCAAAATCATACAATGCAAAAAAAAAAAAAAAAAAAAAAAAAAAAAAAGATAGCATCTTCAACAAATGCTTCTGGTCTAACTGGATGTCTACATGCAAAAAAATGAAAATAGATCCATACTTATCCACCTGCACAAAACTGAAGTCCAAGTGGATCAAAGACCTCAACATAAAACCAGACACATTAAATCAGTTAGAAAAAAAAAAAAAAGTGGGGAATACCCTTGAACTCATTGGCACAGGAGACAACTTCCTGAACAGAACACCAATAGCACAGGCTCTAAGAGCAACAATCAATAAATGGGACCTCATGAAATTGAAAAGTTTCTGTAAAGCAAAGGACACCATCATCAAAACAAAACGACTGCCTACAGACTGGGAAAGAATCTTCACCAACCCTTTATCTGACAGAGGGCTAATATCCAGTATATATAAAGAACTAAAGAAGCTGAAAAACAGCAAACCAAGTAATCCACTTAAAAAATGGGGAAGAGAGCTAAACAGAGAACTCTCAATAGAGGAATATTGAATGGCAGAGAAACACTTAAAGAAATGTTCAACCTCATTAGCCATTAGGGAAATGCAAAACAGAACAACCCTGAGATTTCACCTTACACCCATCAGAATGGCCAAGATGAAAAACTCAATTGACAACACATGCTGGAGAGGTTGTGGAGAAAGGGGAACCCTCCTCCACTGCTGGTGGGAATGTAAACTTGTACAACCACTCTGGAAATCAATCTGCCGCTTTCTCAGACAACTAGGAATAGCGCTTCCTCAAGATCCAGCCATACCACTCCTAGGCATATATCCAAAAAAGGCTCAAGTACACAATAAAGACATTTGCTCAACCATGTTCATAGCAGCTTCATTTGTAATAGCCAGAAACTGGAAACAGCCCAGATGCCCCTCAACTGAAGAATGGATGCAGAAATTGTGGTACATCTATACAATGGAGTACTACTCTGCAATGAAAAATAAGGAAATCATGAAATTTTCAGGTAAATGGTGGGACCTGGAAAGGATCATCCTGAGTGAGTTGTCCCAGAAGCAGAAAGACACACACGGTATATACTCACTCATATAGACATATAACATAGGATAAACCTACTAAAACCTGTACATCTAAAGAAACTAATTAAGAGAGAGGACCCTGACTAAAATGGTCAATCCCCATCCCGAAAGGCAAAGAGGATAGACATCAGAAGAAGAAAACAGGAAAAAACCTAGGAACCTGCCACAAAGGGCCTCTGAAAGGCTCTGCCCTGCAGACTATCAAAGCAGACACTGAGACTTATGGCCAACTGTTGGGCAAAGTGCAGGGAATCTTATGTAAGAAGTGGGAAATAGTGAGATCTGGAGAGGACAGGAACCCCACAAGGAGAGCAACAGAACAAGAAAATTTGAACACAGGGTCTTCCCAGAGACTCATACTCCAAGTACCATGCACAGAGATAACCTAGAACCCCTGCACAGATGTAGTCCATGGCAGTGTAGTATCCAAGTGGGTTCCATAGCAATGGGAAGAGGGACTGCCTCTGACATAATCTGATAGGCCTGTTCTTTGATCACCTCTCCCTGAGGGGAGAGCAGCCTTACCAGGCCACAGAAGATGACAATGCAGCCATTCCTGATGTGATCTGATAGACTAAGATCAGAAGAAAGGAGAGGAGGACCTCCCCTATCATGTGCGAAGGAGGAGCATGTGCGAAGAAGGGAGAGGGAGGGTGGGACCGGGAGGGGAGAAGGGAGGGGCTTATGGGGGGATACAAAGTGAATAAACTGTAATTAATAAAAAAAATAAAAAATAAATTTAAAAAAAGTAAAAAAAAAATATGGTCTTTAATCTTACATTATTTGAAAAAGTGATCCATACAAATTAAAGATGTATTTCAACAAATACCAGTCTAGCTAACCTTAAAGAAATTCACATGGGGCTAAGATAACTGTGGCTCCTGATACCAAAGGAGCATCTCTAGAATCATCACTAGGTTATCTTAGCAGAAACAGCAGTTGGAGAAGCTGAGGGATGACACAATTGATGATGAAAAAGAACAGTATGAGGACACTGGGAACTGTAAGCTCCTCAGTCAGTTGTTCCCTAATAGACTTGGAGAGAAGAGGAAGCCACAGAATAAAAGGCTTGTCCCTGTCAGGGACAAGATAGGATGAAGAGACCTAGGAAACCTATACTTTATAAACAATTATTATCCTGCAAAACACTTCCCATCAGAAGAGCAGAGCAGAGGCTGAGGCGATAGCTCAGTGGTTAAGAACACTGACTGCTCTTTCAGGGGACCTGGGTTTGCTTCCTAGTACCTACCTGTTGGCTCACAACCATTTCCAACTCTACTTCCAGGAAAACCCAACCCCCTTTTCTAGCTTCAACGGGCACCAAGCATGTAAGTGGTTTACAGACACCCATGAAGGCAACATACTCATTAACAGAGAGAGACAGGGAGAGTCAGAGAGAGCAGAAAACAGCAATGGAGAAGGCTAATAGATCCCCAAGTCACAAGAAGAGTGAAGGAAGCTGTTTAATAGAAAACCCAGTATTTTCTTAAGAAAAGTAAATTAGACATTGCCAAAGCTTTGCCATAAGCGAGAAATGCCTTCCAGTGTTCTTTACCTGTGAGATGGCTGCCAGTCAGTAGGAAAACTTATCAGCTCAGAGAACAGCAAGAGCCCAGAGCAGAGTGAAGATAGAAAGGGTTCTCTGAGAGAGCTACAGCAGGTCCCCAAAGGAGGAATTAACTGCAAGGATCACTCCCTAATGCTGCCCAGCACAGCCAACCACTATTCAATACAGGAGTGTCTGTTGTGCTCAGGCTACTGAGGGTGGAGGGCAGAAGGCGTGCCACCATGGTCTCATTTAGGTGGGGTTTAGCTAAAATCGATTAAAGGAAACATTTCAGGTCACTTAAGGCTGGCAAAGTTTACTTTCTAGATGGAAGAAATGCAAATCCTTTCTGACCAGGGATCAAAATGTGATTCACTAAGAATTCATACTCATCCCCTAATCAAAACATGGAGTCTCATTGTCCCCTCCTTCAATGGAACCTGCTTTCGTCTAGACACAGACCTAGAACGTTATGCCTAGATTGCCCAAGAGACCACCAGGAGTCAAGTCCAATGCAAAACACCTGAGATCTTTTTATTACAATCCTCGACACAGATGCACCTGTTGAGAGCAGAGAGCCTCATGCTCAGGGTAGGTGGTTAATTTAAAGATTCCAGTCCTTCCCAGCACACAAAGCAGGGGAATTCCTGCCTGGCAAGCGTATATTGGTTGAAACAAAGGGGGTGTTGCATTTTAAACTGACTGGCTTTTGGAAGGGGGCAATCTGGGCCATTTCCTAGCAACTGTATCTCTAGTGGACAGGAAAAGAATGCATTAAGGCTGTTTCCTCTCTGCAGGTGGCTGGACATGCTTCCACCTGTCTGACCTTTGTTCAGGCTTGTGCTTTAAACTTTAAACCAATAACTCAGAAAACTAATTTTTAATTCTTTGGTCTCTCTAGAACATAATGGAGAGAACGGAAGTCATGAGAACTCTCGTACCTCTGTCTATGTGCCTTAGAAAAATATTCTGTGAGTGAAGTCCAGAAAAATCTGACTGCTCTTCTCTAGCGTAGGTTCAACGACCCCCTCGTTTTTTCCTGCCCACTCCTTTTCCCCCTCCTCATTCTTCTAGAATATGAGGTAAGAGTTTATAAAATTAAAAAACAACACTAGGTGGGTTACAAATTTTATAAACACGAGCCCTACGTGGCTATAAAGTGCAGTAGGGGCCAGGAACTCCACTTTCTCTAGACATGCTAAGAAACCTGACTACAGCCGGGGAAGAGTGAATCAGCCAGTACCAGAAGGTGTGCAGCTCCCGGCCTTGCCTCAGGTGGAAGGAGTCGGTGGACCCGCCCTACCTGGAGAACCTGGGTGAAGCAGCAGCAGGCTGAGGGTTGCTCCCAGCACCACGCACAACGCTGACCCAGCAGTTCAGCCCGCGTTAGGACGGCTGGGTGGTAAGAAACTTGAGCCCAAACTGAAGAGGAAATCGGTGTGAAGGGCGGGACATGCGCAGAAAGAACTCAAAAAAAAAAAAAAAAAAAAAAAAGCTCCAAGGCTACCTTGTGACGTCACATCGAGTGAGACTACATTTCCCATAAGTCTGTGTAGTAGCGATCCAGGAGTCGCTGGAGGCTTGTGACTGAAAGGAAGGAAACATGCAGTTTCTGCCGCTAGACGGAGACAGTCACAGGGAGTCAGGCTGCTTTTAAAATCCTTTACTCACCACCTGAGATGTCTGAATGTGAGTGGAGACCTTACCGTAATGTTTATTACATTGACTAGTTATTTTTGCTTACTTTATTGTGCTTTCACACTCAGGTCTGCTTGGTACAGAAATTTACAACAGAATAAAACATTCATTTTGACTCAGTTTTTACTTTGAGATGATTACCAAGAAACTAACATCGGAAGTCACTGCTAAGCCTTTCAAATGAATTTTGAAGACAAGCCCAGGAGCAGCTGCGTGGTTGCAGCTACTCATGTATAGAAAAGAACAAAAAGAAGTGGGAGGGAGTTGAGTGATGGGACAGGTTCCATGAAGTCAAGAGGCCTTGATTTTAGTGGGCAGCCCTAAAAACGGCAACACAACAGAACCTGAGAGGTCCAAAGTTTAAAAATTAGAATTTTAGGGCAGCCTGGCTGAGGTCACTGGTACAAGCTTAGACAAAGAAATGAACAAGACAGACCCGCCCGCCTTGCCTTGAGAGATACCATTGCTTGGCAACCAGACCAGATGGGGGGCAGTCTCCCACCCAAATAGTCTGTATCTCCCCTTCTAAGAAAAACCATGAGATGTACTAATATCTTTCCCTCTCCCTAACTGCAGCTTAATCACCACGTAACAAGACATCCCAGACATTGCTCATGAGCAGATATCCTCCGGATGGCTGGCCCAGGACCGTTATGGCCTTGGTGCCTAAAATAAACCCTCGTGTGCGTTCATCGGAGTCGATTACTGGTGGTCTTAGGGGTCCGGTGAACTGGGTACAGCATTTCCTGGTAACTTTGTATTCAAGGAGAAATTATTTCAGTGTTCTGCTTAGGAGAAGTTCAAGGCAGATACCGCTGATGTTCACATAGTGTAAAATACGAACACTTACAGGATCAGAGGAGAGATAGGAAATTCAATAAGGAACATGAACCCTAAAGCAGAGGGAAATATCCTATAATGCACAGTGGACCAAGATTAATTACACACACCAATGTGATCCCAGGAGCTCTCCCCTCCTTTTGGGAGAGTTGCAGAGGAAAACATGCTAAGAAAACACCTGGTGCTGACTACGTGGTTAAGTCTGTAAAACGCCAGGGTGAGGTGGCTGTGGTAGATGAGGTGAGTGAATACAAAAATTAAATTGCTCACACAGATTAGTGGATGAAAATACAGTCAAGGAACTTACAGATGGAACGATCTTCAATGGATTCTGGAATTTCTCCAAAAGTAAAAGTCAGGGACCTGCACTTTTCACTGTATTCAATGATTTGACACATCACCATGGCCCTCACCCATGCTCTTCAATGTATGGATTCCAGTGTTCACATGAACCCTTTTTCAAGCTGTGGCATCTGATCCATGTATGGCTCACGCAGTGCCTCAGCACAGGAGAACAAGGATTAATTAAATTAATTTGTATTAGTGGGTTTAAAACCAAAGCTGCCTTCATTATATATAGCCACGTGTTTTACCCTAAACTAGCTGCCTATCTGTTTTCTACTTTGTATTCAGATATAAAGCGTCTATAAACTACACGTTACCCTTGAGTTCTGATTCTTCTGTCTTAAACTGTTGACAAACTGGATGATAGGCCGGGTCACCAAGGACATTCAATAAGCATCTTAAAGAGATACTGCTCAGGCCTACATCAACTTCCTCTTCCTTATTTTTAAATAAAGTAAATCAATCAGAATTTTCCATGCTGTTGTAAGACTGCATAAGTAGACCTGAGCTTTAAACATTTTAGTAGAAATAACTAGAAAACGTGATAAACGTTACTGGGAAAAGCTCAACTCACAGGCTAACGTCGGTTGCTCTGACCACAGGACTTTAAAACAGCCAGAATAGCCTGTGGCTGCCCCCCGTGCTGAAGCCTGTTTCCTTCCAACTTCCAGTTCCCACAATTAGGCAGAAACCCAGGCACTTTACAAATCTTTTCTGGGTTCTTGGCCGTCCTTAGCACTGACTTGTGGGAAATGTAGTCCCGACCACTATGACATCACCAGAAGGGGCTGTGGATATCGAACTTCTGTGGTTCGGCCTTCAAACTTTGCTTCTCCCCAAAGTTAGACGACTGTCCTGCTCAGCGCTGGGCTTGGATCTCTGACATGGAGGTTGGTGCAGGGACGGCGGCGTCCTGCAGATCTGAGGGACTGTGCACGGTGGCGGGTCGGGCGCAGAGGGAGCTGACTTGGACTGGTTGGGAAACGTGAGAAGCTGCTGACCTGGAGGCGCTGTGCCGACCTAGTCTGGACCACTCCCCCTGGGCGCAGGTTTGACCGGGAAGACGGCATCATGCCAAAGTCATGTGCTGTGAGTTGTCCAGTCTCTTAAGACGGCCCTGCTGCTCGAGTCCACCTGTGATTCCGGAGGGCTGGCTCGGTAGCCAAGGAAGGGAGAAGGTTGGAAACAACCAGATTGCAAGGGCAGGGTGGATCTGCTGACCTCTGGTGCCTGAAGCTGTGCGGGCAGCCGCTGTGCCAGCTTGGCTTGAGAATCATTATGGAATTTACTAGCTGATCCACGCTCGCATGGCTGCTGTAAGATTTCTCAGGACATCTAGAGCAAGCGGTGCTTGCTCTGGCCCTTCCTGTATCTATAACCTGCCCAGGACTCCTGGTTTGAGCTGACAGAAGTTCCTATGTTACGGAGACAGAGTGTTGTGAGGGCGATTAGTTTAAGGGATGTCAGCCCCAATTCTTTGTAATAGATAGATCGTTTTCAGGACAGCTACTTTGAAATGGAACCTCCTATATCCTCCTCAGGCCTGAATCCCCAGACTAACAATCCCATATAGTCACAGAATAATCCTGTAAATGGTTTGATTCCAGCTTTCCTTAGTCCAAGTAATTACTAATTTTATACTGCAGAGTGAAAAAATACTAGACAGTTATAGCACATCCAATCTTTCTGAGACTGTGTGGTGCTTGAAATTTGTACTCCTTTTCAAATGTGAGAGATGGCTTGCTGTGATGAGAGAAATGGACCTCGGGATTGAGGGAGAGGGCTGGAATGTTTCTGAAAGGGAAGGGAGAAATGACGCTGCTATTCGGACAATCTCCTTCCATCATTCTCTCATCATATCCTTTTCTTCTGTCTCTTCACATTATCATCAGTTTCTAAACTCTCATAAACGTATTCTGTCTGGGTGCACTGATGCACCCTGAAAGATTTGCCTAAATCTAGAAAGTTTTGCCTGAATCTAGAAAGTTTTGCCTGAATCTAGAAAGTTTTGCCTAAAGCTTTGTACTATATTATGCACTAAAAAAATAAAAGACAATAAAAGATGAATTTGGAAAGCCATGGTTCACTCAGGGTCCACCTCATATATTTTGCCACAACCATCAAACCAAGTGTTTGTGAGCTACAGACTGTCTTACAACATTGAAGTCTACTCTTAGGAAGCATGGGCTCCAAACCACCTTGTCCTGTCTACTGGAATTCTCAGTGAGTTTCCAACTATATCTAAAATAACACACTCCCTAATTAATGTGTAGGAAATAATAACAGTATATGAAGTGGGAAAAGCACACCGCCTTGCACAGCACAACAGCTTCCTTACAGTGTAGGGGTGATACAGCAGCATGCTCATATATAACTCACTGGCACCAAATACACACACACACACACACACACACACACACATATAGGAGTAAACAGGTGAAGTTAAGACTGTTCTGTGGTTCATCCCTCTCATCTCTGCATTTGGGATGGATTCAGGAAACAGAGTTCAAAGTCTGCTTCAAAGCATATTCAAGATAAGCCTAGGCTATATGAGACACTGTGTTTTTAAAAGTCTTAAAAAATAGTTGATTGGGTGTAGTAATTACTTCTGGTTCCTCTCACTTCTGAACACCAGTGACCTGACAGAAATCCATCCAATTGACATCTTACTAATTATCAAAACTTACACATGTGCTTAGAGAAGTTCTATTGTCTGTGTTTGAAATCTAATTTCCAGTTTTTCACTAGCATCCTTTTGTTAATGACATTGTGTTGATTAGGAACTTGTTTGTATTTACTGTGTGGGGAAAGATTCTATCTTTGCCTTGCTTGACTATTTCTCTGTATTTGCAGGGACTGTTAGTTATCTTTGCATACTCTTCTCTGTTATTTTCTGTCATGGCCTCATGGTGCTTTCTTCAGATTTTACCTGAATTCTTCCAGTCTGAGCTATATCCCCTCTGATCCCACTTGGCAGTTCTCCTTCACTGATTCTCTAGAACTTGAACACCTTCCCAAGTATTGACATTCGTCCTTACAGCACAGGTTCAAGCATGTAATGGAATGTGTCTTTACACTTAGCCAGAACAGAATTTCAGCTCTCCAAATGTAATATGATAACCACATCTACCACTGTCCTGCACATGTGATATCACCGCCATCCAGCCAGTAAAATAAACTCTTATAGTGGAATTCCTTCCTCCTCATCAGGGAGGAGTCCAGTCCTTCATGGTGTGCAGTCCTGGCCTTTTCTTACAGGCTGTTTTCATTTTATCCTAATGTTAGTGTGAGTGATGGAATGAATGAAGCACTTACTGGTTTTTATAGACTCAGATAGTAACCTTGTTATGTTTAACCAGTTGTTCTTGCGAAACTCTCAAGGGAACTTGTGCTGAGTGATGTCATTCAGAACCTGGTCATGGCTGTGTACATGCCAGAAGCTATGCAGAGAAGACACAAATGTTATTTAGACAGATTAGGATAGGACTCAAAATGAGTGAGTCACAGGTTGGTGTCATTTGTTCTTTTGAGTTTATAAGTTTCTGTCAACTTTGTCCAATGACAGTTTTCAACTGCAATGACATATTTTGAGTTGAAAAGTATGTGGCAGTTTGTCTAGCAGACTCTTACCAAAGACTATATATTTAATTGTTTTCTTGTTCATGGCAGCTATATAAAAACAATTCAGATGGAAGAGAATATGAATCCCAACTGTTTCCAAGTTAAAGTACACTACTATTTCTTTAGTTACAGGCAACAACTATATATTGAGTATGTAAAATTTACACTTATACTTAGACATATAACATTGAAACTTATAAATTATCCCATCTAAAGTCTCTTTTAACATTGAGATTTCCCTATTGTCTGCAATGTCTTTTTCAATGTTCCAGTCATATGCTTTGATTCAAAGTAATAGCAAATCTGTTGCTGTGCATCAAATTACCAAATTTGTTCACTTAAGAATTAATGATTGTTGCATGTCACATTTCTGTGGGTCAAGATCCTGGACAGAGACATGTGAATTAGCTTCTTACTGGTGTTTCTAATATGATCTGTAATTGATAGATACAGTAGGCCTTCAATGGAAAGTAGTTAGAGGCTGGTCAAGAATCCAGCCCCATTTTGCTGTATTTGACGTCTCACAATCTTCTTGTCATCGGAGTTGTCTGACTCCCTCTGACCCCCCCCAAAAAAAATTTCCCTGAGGCTCAAAAAAGAGATGCAAGAGTTCTTATGACTTATACTCTGTTGCAGAGTGTGTGGCCAGTGGGCTGTGAGGCGTTGTGCAGTATGTTCGCATATGTTCGGCTTAGCCACAAAAACATTCCTTGGATGTCATACTGTCAATAAAGACTATAGTAAGAAGACATCTCACTCATCAGATGGGAAACAGGAGCAAGAAATGCTGCAGGCTTCCACTGGGGAATCTTCTCCAGTTAGGGTGCTTCAGGAGCTTTTCAGGCTAGACCACATCCACTATGAAGTCCTTCATTGTGGCAGGCTGGGAGGATGGCACAGTGGAGGTTCAGAAGCTCTTTGAGAGCATCAGCTAGTGGAGGCCAGTCTCAAACTCACTTTGCCAGTGAGTATCACAGGCCCAGAGACTCCACGTCTCAGGAATACCCAGCAGTAGGGCCCACTGTCTAGTTTCATTTTTTTTTTTTAGTTACTATTTATTCACTCTGTATCCCAGCTGTAGCCCCCTCCCTCCTCTCCTCCCACCCTCACTCACTCTACTCCCCTTATGCCCCTCCCCCGAGTCCACTGATAGGGGAGGTCTTCCTCTAGTACTATCTGACCCTAGCCTATCAGATCTCATCAGGACTGGCTGGATCAGCTTCCTCTGGGGCCTGGCAAGGCTGCACCCCTCAGGAGGTAGTGATCAAAGATCCAGCCACTGAGTCCATGTCAGAGACAATCCCTGTTTCCCTTACTAGGGAATCCACTGACTGACCTGCCTATGGACTATATCTGAGCAGGGGGTTCAGGTCCTCTCCATACATGGGCCTTGGTTAGAGCATTCGTCTCTGCAGGACCCCCTGGGCCCAGGTATTTTGGCTCTGTTGGTCTTGTGGAGCTCCTGTCCCCTCCAGGTCTTTCTATCTTGTTCTTCTTCTATAAGATTCCCTGCCCAAACTTTGTTATGAGTCTCCTTTGATACCCTGCTGGGAAGAGTCTTTCAGAGGCCCTCTGTGGTGGGCTCCTGTTGTGTTCCCTGTCTTGTCCCACTTCTGATGTCTATCCTGTTTGACCTTCTGAATGAGGATTAAGCATCTTCCCTAGGGTCCTCCTGGTTGTTTAGCTTCATTAGGACTA